GGAGAGCCTACGTCCGATTCAAAACGTATTCCGAAAAGTTTAAGGTTAAATGGATTGAACGCATTCAACAGTGCTATCGCAAGACATCTCCTTCATACAGGACATGAAGTTGATATACTGAAGTCCTTCAAGGCGATTAACAAACAATCAAACTCCAACCTTTTGAAATTCGCTGAAGCGTTAGCAATCAAACGTTTAAAACCAGATCTACGTATACAAAAAGAGACAGTAATAAATCTTTCTTTACCCTGGTAACAATAACCGCCACCCTTTCTATTCATTTGCTCCTATTTATTTATTTATTGCGTCATTATTGCAACTCTTTCTGAAGTTTAAATTACATCATACATAAATGATTGATTTCAATTCATAGTTTCTTTATTACCATTAATCTATTTTCATGAGTTCTAATCACTATTTCAGTGTTCCGGAACTTTACCTTTCAAACTTTATTTATTCGAGACAAAATTTTATGATCTCAATAACTATCGAAATCTTCGCTACACGATGATACATTTATTCATCCTTAATCACCCTCTTATGTATAATTATGTCAATATCTGTAACAATGTTGAATTTCAAATATTTTAGGTTGTAAGCAGCTGGTGAGAACCTAACGAAATAAAATGAATTCATATTATTCTGCACCAATCTTTGTTCTTGCTCTATTTACTTTATGTTTTTCAGTATTGATTTTCTGACATATTGAAATATACAATGGAAAGATACGAGTAAAACAACACTAAGTGAATTGATAACTTTTTTAGTTTAATTTGAACAAAGACAACAGTCATTAAAAAGAAGAATATGTTTGTAAAATCTCAGCGAATGAATTTTAAAATTCATTCGCTGAGATTTTACAAACATATTCTTCTTTTTAATGTCTCAAATTAACTCGGCGCCCAAATATTGTGAAACTATTCGTTCAAATTTAGACGAAAGTTCTTATTTAAAGACAACAGTAACTTCATAACTAATCTTTACCACACAACTTATTACATAACAAACATATTATTATATACCACGAAATATTACCAATTGTCATCGAACTCTGTTGGTAGTAAGCCTTATTAAAAAGTAAAGCGTTTTTTATATAAAATTACTACTTCTGTTTCCAAATGTACTCAACATTACTAAACACTTATCGTACGAATGAGCTGTTTGTCATTAAAACCAATTTGGTAGTTGTTTGTGGCCACATAGATTGTTTATTTATTTATTTAAACTCATAAACATTGGTACAAGGAGGCACCAAACAGATATGCGCCACATAAATCATTAGATTTATTTGAGAGCTGAGATACTGCTTAGGTGCTCAAACCGAAGCCTCTGGATAGACCAATCCATTCATTATTTTCAAGCTACAACTTTATCTTGTCACTTATTTGCCTATAATCATTGACTGTTTTTATGTAAGCGTATATGTGCTCATTTCTTATCTTACTAATCACATTTCTGTAACTTATTTGTGTTTGACTATAAATATCGATTCACGCTTGGTTAAATCGAATTGGTTCACTCGTCTTCTCCACTGGACGTCATTTGGTTACGCTTCTCTCCCTCCTCTTCGCTTCCTCTGCTCCGTCTCCCTGATTGTCTGTTCAGATCAACGATTGTGTGAAATATACTTATTCAGAATCCATTCACATATTTGACTTATTTAATCCCATTATTCACTAACGCGATTTAAATCGATGATCATATACGTTGATTGACGATATATATGAGTTGATCACAATAATCACACAATCAAATTGAAGTCACCTATTCCAGGGCCACTAATAGTTTATGCATATTACTAACTTCATTTATTAATGATAGAATTAATCTGTACGTCAAACAGACAAATATTTTCGAACTATATCTAGGCCTAAATGACAAACGTGAGAAATAACTGCTTTTCAGTGTTGTAATAGTTATAAAAACAAGGTGTTTTTTTACCATCTGAAAATAAAATTAGATAAAAACAAGTAGAATAAATTTAACTCACTAGAAAATTTCCTTCCTCATAATATATTTATTACAAACCTTTAGTAAGATATTTATTTCTAAACACGATTAATCCTATAGATTGCGTCAATCTACGTAATATAACATGCAAGCTTATGTAATCATTCTGAAAACTTTTAGACTTCAACAGTTTTTTTTCTCCATGATCCATTTAATATTAACTGGATAACTCGATGTTAAGTATCACTTATAAGTGTACATATTAAACACCAGAGGAAATCAAATTCACCACGGATTTAATTAAGGACTCTAAAATGATTGTTTCTTTTTTTTCTTCGTTGATTCATTTACTTGACGTAATGTAAAATATTTCATATTTATTCGTGTAAATCAAGATTATTCGCTTAGTTTTTCAGACAATCTGTTGTAGTGTCGGTTATTATGTTAAGCCTATATACCTTATTCTAGCTTTAGGACAGCCCATTCTATTCATTTTACTTGAGTCACATTTTGACCTTGTTAATTATCCGCTTATCAATGTTGACTGTTTTTATGTAAGCGCATATATGAGTGTATATTTCTTATCCTATTCATCACACGTCTGTAACTTATGTTTGCTTGACTATAAATATTGATTAACGCTTGACTAAATGGAATTGGCTTATTCGACATATCCACCAAGCGTCGTTTCTCTTCTCTCTATTCCATTCACTTCATATACAAAATATATGTATTCAAAAGTCCATTCTCGTTATTTAACTTATTTAATTCCGTTATTGACTAACGCGATTTAAGTCGATGGTTATATACGAGAATAGACGACATATATATTTCGACAACGATCATTCATATGACCGAATTCGAATCAGATCCCGGGCCACTAAACTGTAATCGACAGAATATAAACAATAATTTCATTAATAAGAAATTTATTTTTTCCAAGATTTTTAGTAGTGAAAAAAACAAAGACAATTCAGAATTATTTTAAAATTTCCGAGCTAATTTAGGGATCTGTTTCGTCAAGATTTTTCAAAATAAAATAGATCAACTCTTATTGGAATTCATATATGCCGAAAGAAAGTCACTTCCAGTAATGCAGTACTCAAAATTTAAAAAACGGATAGCTCAATTTCTTCACATTTATGTTCTTTCATTACTATAGAAATAGATTAAAGATGTTATGATTTGAAACTATGCATCATAATTTAAGTCACAGTTCAGATGATGAGACAAATGGAACGTAACCTCTTTATTCTACCGAAAAAGCATCTCCATGATATTAATAATGAACAGTGGCCATTAAGTTATATAGTAAAGTCAAATCAATACAAATATCTGATTAACTGATGAACATTAAGTTGTCATTTCGAAGTTGATAGATTTTCTTAAAAAATGAAATCAACCTTACACTGATTAACGTGGAACAAATTAAAAATGAGGATTATACAGTAATCGCTCTGTTAATTGGGATGATTAAAACATTGTTTTTCAAATCAACTAGTTTCATTCTTGTTTAATTGGAACAATGAACTTTCTTCATCAGTTCGCTATCGAAAACAAAACAAAAATATCTTTTTCATTCTCATCATATAGTATTCGAACTGTTTCAATTTAAAATGAAACTTAAGAACAGGATCTATAATTTTAGCCAACATGAGCTGAACTGTAATATAACTACAACTGAAACTTTTTATGCGTTGGTAAACACTGTTGACATATGAATATTTGTCTCACTATCTATCCATTAATAAAATATCTTTTCATTTAGTACTAACGAAATAAACTCATTTCTACTTTACTTTTATTAATCATTACACAAAAAAGGCCACACTATTAAATATTAGAAACATAATACCGAGATAATAACAAAGAGATGTTATATAAAAGAGTGTTATACTAATTAAAACTTCACACTAAAGTATCATTTGACATCATATTTAACGCCTGTCAGACACAAACACAGTTGCTACTATACCAGTTAAAACTTGTTCAATCACTAATTAATCAAGTGCTTATTACATAGTGATAACCAGAAGTACTGCAGATGTGAGCAAAGATAAATCATGATTCATTAACGTAGTGAACCCACTTGTTTCAATTTCTCCATTTTTCCTTTTATAATGGAAACTTTCAAACTAATATTTTTCATTTGAATATTCCAACCGGTCAAATGAAGTTCCGATAACATTTAATTTACAACTACACATTATTGAACTTTAATTAGAGCTACAGATATTAAGAATGGCTTATGCTACTCCACGAGAAGTAACAGGTGCAACCAAGCTTGTAAGCAAGTATAAGTACAAAATTTACAAAAACCAAATCAATACCATGATAAGTTTCGTCTAGCAGGGCAAACCACTGAAAGAAATCAACACCACAGATATTATTATCGACTAGAATAAATACAGGTCTATTTTATTTAAATGGTATTTCAGGTAGATATTTTTTTGGAAAAAAAATCCATTCATCTGATAAGTATTTTCTTTTAGTCTTGGAATTCTATTTATTCAGCTTGATCTTCACTCAACCTATTTGAATATAATCAGCTGAAGTTATGCTTAAATATATTAGCAATAATTAAGAATAATTCAAAACCACTTATATTTGACAACAGTTTGCTAAAACAAATATTGGTAGCGATCCACATACTATTTTTAACCGATGTTGTTTACCTTGTAAATTTTTCAGACGATTTTTTTTAAAAATAACATTTGATACTGATATGAAAAAGTATTCGATGGAGTGAATACCTAATTTTTATTGATAATGAACACAAAAAGGAAAGCTAAACACAACTGTAAACTAGAATGTACATTGACATTGAATAATTGTAATTAAACAGATATTGTTGTTTTTAAAATTTAGTGAAATCTTGAAAGCGTGTGCATAAAGCATTTTCTAAGGATTGGAAACTTTTATGTGCATTTAAAGTGGAAATATCATAGCTTCTTTCTGATTGGTTCAATTACTATAAAGGTCATAAAATGAATGTAAACCAATCATTTTATTTGTACAGTTTCATTATTAAACTAAATAATAATCCCAATATCGTAAACAAGCACTTGTTAACTTTATCGATAGTATAAAAACAATTCTGCTTTGAAAACAATTGAAGTGTACATTAACATCGTTATAAATTCCGATCGTTCCTCAAATCTTTACAAAAATTCAACATCATTGTAATTTTCAATGTACATATGCAGCTGAGATGATAAAAAACCTAATCCCACATTGAAACAAAATAATGTTGAGCATATAAAAAACTGATATCTAAAGTATATATTCCTTAATTTAGCATCAATGCACAAACTATGTAACATCTATGTATCAAACAGTCTAGTTGTGTTGGATTCCATATAAAATTACACATAAATGAGTAATTTATGAAACTCAAACAACCGTCAGTTAATAAGAAAACATTGACTTGACTGATAGATTTATTAGCTTATGTTTTATTCGACGTGGATTCATAAAGTTTTTTTTCCGTAACTAACACCTTTTTGGTGACTGGTGAGTTTCATCATGTAAATGTTTATTAACATGTTTTTTGCATAACTACAATATAATGTACTGTTGAACGCGTAACAAGTAGTTGGAAATCCATATTTATTCAAATTAGATTACAGTAGAAATACGAGAGATTTAACGCATCATTAATATCCTAAACATTTCAGAATCTTTGTAGCCAGTTTGAAATAAGTCCTACTTGGCTATATTTCATGACTTTTGGAAATGTGAATATTTATAAAAATAGAACTCGTAAATCGATTTATTTTGTGATATATCAGTCATGTCAAGTTATTTGAAAAAAGCATATAATCCGAAAATCATTTTAATGAAGCAACTCATAAATGAACTATAGTGAGTCTTTATACTATTCAGCTTGTTATTTTCATGGTCATAAAGGTCTAGCGACATTTTCAAACAATAACTAATTTCTAATTTTTTTGAATAGATATCTCCTTTAGTTTATCATAGATTTTATTCTCCAAAAGTATACCAGAGATCTACACTTGGCTGTTCTTACTATCATGAATCAAATTCATGTTACATTTACTTACTTACGCCTGTTACTCCTCGTGAAGGAACAAAGGCCGCTCACCAGCATTCGCCATTCAACTTACTTATTTAGCTTCATAATAAAAAGAAGCCACATATAAATTGTACAAGCTGCAGAAAGCATTAGGTTTTCTATTGAACATTAGCTATATCAATGAAGTGATCATGAAATGAAATTATATCTCACCTGATTTCCTAGCAAATAATGGTTCTAATGTTTTCATAAGTGATCATATATGCTCTCATTATTATCATTTATAAATACACAAACATTTATGAATAAACTTTGTCACGAAACATTAAAATACCTAATTTTTCTACTCATTGAGATATTACAAAATATATTATTTATTTATTTATTTTTATCAGAAGGGGTTTGTAGAGATTTTAGACATTTCACAGATTAAAATCATGAGTCAATTGAAGCTAGACCACCATGGAAAACCTGGAAGCAGTGGACGGCCGTTTCGTCCTCAGCAGTTCTCATCCACGATCCCGCACCTCGCGAGATTCGAAGCCAGGACCTATCAGTCTCGCGCCAGGCGCTTAACCAATTAGACGACTGAGACGGCATCCAATGGTGTTAATGTCTAACTTCAACCATACAAGGACGAAACGGCCATCCAGTGCTTCCAGGTTTTCTATGGTGGTCTAGCTTCAATTTATTTATTTATTTATTTATTTATCTATGACAATCTATCCAACGCTCAATTTATTGCACAATATCAAGTCAAACCTTGGTAATGATACCTACAAACTTTGATTTGGTTTATGAATTTGGACTAATTTCAATAATGTCACCAATAGACTTTATGATTATAAATTCGTAGTGTATTTTGATGACATTAGTGTAATAAGTAAACGAAAGTGGCTTCTTATAGAATACAGCTTAAATATATATCAAATATATAGTTAGTTCTTTTACTGGTCTCATTCTCATAATTATAAATTAATTATAAATAATAACAATATAGTAGTGAAATATTATTATGAATATTTAACTACAATTTTCTTCAAAAATAAATATCATATCAAACATATGTGAATGTTTTAATAGTTTGACACCGATAGTGTTAATAGGCTAATTGTTATTGTAAAGATATTGAAAAGAATAGTGTAGATTTTAACGGTGGATATTAGAAACTGACTTAACGAAAACAATGGTTTATTCACTAAAAATATGATCTGATACTTTACTAATAATAATGTAAAAGGATGGTAAATCTTTTCTTCCAATAAAACTTGTCGTTTTATGTTGCTGATTTCTTTAAGTTGTCTTTCACTGTTGTTCAAAACAGCATTATTATTGAAGCTCACTTCATACAGAAGTGAGCTTTCTAACTGTTCCATAACAGGTATATTAGTCTGTCCTGATGTACTTGTTTGTGATTGACATTCACTTTAGATTTTACCGTCTTCAGTTGTTTTTATAACTTTGTTAATGGTGTTTTTAGATTGACTTCTGATCATGCGACGTTTTTTAATCAAAGGAATCAAAAGCATCTTCTATATCATTGAAAAAAGAAAAAACCTATCGTTTGTTTATTTATTTTTGTTTTGGTTGCTTAGATCTTCTCATTGGTGTTTAGGACTGTAATTGATCAGTTTTTTTTAATTGGCATATGTACATCTTGTATGGATCACCTCTATATTATCTTCAGTCACATGCTTAACGTTTGTTATTCAAATCACTATGCTGAAATCTTTTTTTTTTTTAATCATTCATATTTATGTTATAATTCGTGTTTATGTAGTACAGTTAACTCTACAACATTATTCCACCTTATTAGTTTAATTATTGTAAACAAATGCGTTCATTTCATCATAATAACTCCCGTTGATTTACTGATATACATTATATTTTTCTAAAGATAAATCTATATTGCACAACCTTTATAAGTCAATATGTCATTCATGAAATGTTACATTCATATAAGAGTATGGTTTAATTTAGACATTTTCGGTTATTATTATTATTATTATTATTATTATTTTTCCATAATTCTTTTTCAATATCACACAATATGATGTCTATTGAATCATAGATTGGAATCAAATATTCTATTTATTAATGTGTCAATATTTAGTCTATATATAAACAATATAAACATTTGTTTACTTTTATAAATATATTATCTCTAGGTGATTTTTTTGGTTGTTGAATTTATTCAATCTGTTCATATAATGTTTATAATACATTAACTGATAAAAGGGGTTATAAACAAATAAATATAGTTAATCAATGATAACTACTCACATATATAAATATCTACGCTTTTATTTTATAATGTATATAAACATATTTGTTTACATATTGTATTTGAAGGGGGGAAAAACATTGAGGGTGTGTGAGAGAGGGAGAACGGGAAAAAATTAATCACTAGGTCAAATATTCGGAATATTGTAGACATTTAGTATGTTTTCAACCTTTTGTAAAGATTTATTTATATTGTGTAACATTTTATTTCTTTGTATTTATGTCTTTTTATCATATTGGCCACTTTATAGGATTATAGAAATTTTTTTTATTATTCATATGCAATTTAACAAATCTGTATTTTCAGAAGAGGGTTTTGTGGAGATTTTAGTAATTGAATAGTTGAATTCATGAGTCAATTGAAGCTAGACCACCATGGAAACCCTGAAAACACTTGTCGGACGTTTCGTCCCAGTATGGGGCTGTCTAGCAGTGCTCACCCACGAACCGCCTCGCGAGATTTGAACCCTGGATCGATCAGTCTTGAGCACGAACGCTTAACCTCTGGACCACTGATCCGGAATCCAACGGTGTTATTATCTAACTTCAACCAATCCACGAAATTAAGTCACCGTCCGCCATTGTTTTTACTGAGTTACTACCTCACAACAGATCCGGTTGAACTCCACTGGTGACTGCTCCTCACTAGAACTCCAGGAAATACCTCTTGAAGTTAGTCACTAGTGAGCATATGATTATTATCAGATGGGTTTTTGTGGAGGTTTTATTAGTTTTACAGTTGAATTTATGAGTCAACTGAAGCTAGACCATTATAAGATACCTGTATTTGTGGAAATATTTAAAATAAATTGAAACATTTAGTAAGAAGTAAAGAAGTAAAATGTTGAGAGTAAGACGTTTATCATGTGAGGTTATCTTTTAACTTTTGATCACGTGTTATTTAGTTAAATGTTATTGAACTTAATACTGTAACACTTATAATCAGCTTATTTTTTGTTTGTACACGAAAATATTGGTACAAAGGGGCCCCGAATACATACAAGTCACTTGATTTGTGTGTGGGCTGGGATATTGAACGGGTTCCCAGACCGAAGCAGGTAGTTTTCTTGGAGAGCCACACTCGAGGCATTTGATCTAAAGGTCTGATTCACAAGGCAGTTGACCAACGTTAGGAGATGCATTCTCATGGTGGCCGGTGACTAACAATTGGTTTGTACGTCATTTGTTTCTTCAGGATACTGGAGCCCATGTGCACTATTGGTTTTAGATTAGGGTTTTCGAACTCCCCTTGGTGAACCAGCCGTGTCCACTGAATTGCTTAAAGCGACGGACATTCGCTTTTTGTAAACCACCACCCCCGCTGCGAGACGTCGGTGAGTAGGACTTCCCTGGTAGTGGCTGTATACGCATGACCGTGTGAGAGCATTTCAAGGGAGAGAGCTGACTCTTCCCACTCTCGGCCGTACCAGGGCATTTGAGGGCATAATCACATACATTACATAAAACTGTGTAATACACAACATAAAAAATAAACTTTGTTAATTTCACTACATGTTAACACAGACAAAAATAGAAATACATGCTTATCAAAGAAAATTTTAAAAATACATTTATGATAATCACTTTATTCTTGTGTACAACTTTCTGTTTATTTACAAAGGCAAAGTTAAGCATTTATTTCACTTATGTGAAAATAAATTGTATCTGATTGATTTATGGCAGGAAGCCGTGATACACTATGAATAGTTGATGTCATATGTTATTAGGTGGTTTCTGATAAGTGATGGTGACGACTATATAATAAACCAATTCATTAAGTTCACTTGAAAATTACTTCGTAAATTAGAAACACATGAGCAGTTTTCTTATAGATACATTATTTGCTTACTAGCTATCTTGTTATGGATACTGATACGAAAAACTGAGATGAATGGATGTAAGTGACCGAATTACTTCAGCAACACAATATCATATGATTCAGTCAACAATATATCCGCATGATATGCATCCGACCATTCAAAATGCAACAGTTAAAAGACTACCTTTTTATTCAGTATCAGATCAATAAATATCGGAGTCATTATTGGTAGGAATAAAAGATGCTTGTTCTCACTAATAGGACTTTAACACAAATAAATGTTTGTTGAGGTCATTTAAATGACTGAAAAATTAAAGATGTTATGCTAAGCTTTGAATTTTACTAACTGTGTGTATCTTAAAGTAGAATCTAGTG